GGCGGGTGGGGGGATTGCTAAGGTGTATGGAGTGTTTTTTGGGGAGTGATGAAAATATTCTAAAATAGATTGTGTTGACAGTTTTACAACTCTGAATAAACTAAAAACCATTTAAATTGTGTACTTAAAATAGGTAAATTAAACCAAGCATGATGGCACATGCCTGTAAGCCCAGCTCTCAGGAGGCTGAGGCAAGAGGACTGCCACAAGTTCAAAGCCAGCCTGGACTACGTAGTGAGACCTTACCTTAAGAAAAAAAAAAGTGTTGATGATGTAGCTCAGTGATGCTGCACCTACCTGGAAAGTTTAAGGTCCTGAGTTTGATCTCCAGCACCAGAATGACTGCCCTGAATGAGACCTTCATAAGCAAATAGGCTGCTCTCTGCAAACAACAGGCTAATAGGATAAATGGTCATGAAAATTCAGGACAGAGTATACAGTCTCCCCAGGTCACAGAAGCCCAGTGAGTCTCTGCACACCTGCACTGACTAGCCTTGGATCTTCAGTCGTAAACATTCCTTATGACCATAACCCTTTCCCAAGCCCTATTATAAACCCAGCTCTCCTCCCCGCTAGCTGCTGATCGCCCCCCATGCACACACAGATGTAATAAATTTGGCTCTTCCCAGCTAGTGAGCTGCTGAAATCTGCACCGGATTTCAGCCTCTGTTCACACCTGGACAGGAATAAGCTTTTCTCGCAGAGCCTGTCTTTCAGTGGCCTCACATAAGCCATTTATAGCTATATTTTAATAAATCTGTTGCTTAAAAATGTTGGGATTTAGCTCAGTGGCACCACACCTGCCTTGCAAGTACAAGGTACTGAGTTTGATCCCTGGTACCTCAAAAAAAAAATTGGAATCCTAATAGGACTTAATAGGGATGTAAAAAAATAGAAATTATATATATATACATATATATATATATGTATATATATATAATATCTAGCATAGGACTGGGGTTGTATCTCAGTAGTAGAGTACTTGCCTGTGAATACTTAGATTCAATCCCCAGCACCACCAAAAATAAATTTATCTTGAGCTTAGTTAGGCACCAAAAAATGATAGTTATTATCATTGCTATTATTAAGAGGAGAGCCCTGCCCAGTCTATCATAGGAGGCCAGCCTGTCAAAGGTGATGTGTCCACACACACACACCCCTCCCTGCATATACCCTTGTCACTGAAGTAGCTGTTCTTTAGCAGCTAGAAGGAGCAATATTAAAGTCAAGGGAGGGCCAGGGATTTAGCTCAGTTGGTTCCATCACCTGCCTCGAAAGCACAAGGACCTGAGTTTGATCCCTGAGTTCGATTCCTAGTACCAAAAAAATAAAGTCGAGGCAGCTGAACCAGATTTGGAACTTACTGACCGCACCCCTCCCTGCCCCTCGCTCGCCTGCCTCTCTCCTCAAGTGATCTGACTGTCAACGAGCTTCTCTAGGATCAGGTTTCAGGTCAACTAGCATATATAAGACGGGTGCCAGTGCCAGGCCCAAGGCAGGCAGCAGAGACAACAGTGGATGGCAAAGGAGGACCCATAGATCTTTGCCGCTGCTCCCTGAGATGCAACCCTAGAGAGCCCCTGGGCTGCACCACCCCGGCTAGGCTCACAGGTAAGACCCACTCCCCTTTCCCAACCCTCGCACATGCTCTCTCTCTTCCTTCTACCTGTTCTCCCTTGCATGGAGGGTTACAAAATACCCAGGAGTGTTCAGGGACCACTAGCCACAGCTGTGAGACCTGAGAGAGCTAAAACCCAGGCCCCACCTTGGCAAAATGAGGAAACTGTGACACAGGTGAGGGCTTTGAGCACCGCACCTGCGTCACTCACTTAGGACTCACATTTGCCCAGCTGGCTGCCTCTGGTGGGGTTTTGCAAGTCCCCACAAATACGATGT